AGCATTTCTTTGTATTTTAAAAACATCATATGTGACAAAATAACACTCTCTTTTAAAACTATAGATAAGATGACTGGAAAGCAACAAATGGGAAAGTAATAAAGCTGAAGCATCGTGAGGAGCGGGTAGCTGGAGATGATGGGAAAGTAATAAACGGGAAAGCAATAGGGCCGAAGAAATATGCACTACTAATTAGAAAATTTTAATTTTAAATTAATATTAGATGTTTAAATTTTTACGTTATCAAAGTAGTCAACTCTTATCTATAAGATAAGATGATTGGAAAGCAATTAAATGGGAAAATAATAAGGCTGAAGCATCATGGGTAGCGGGCAACGGAAGATGATGGGAAAGAAATAAGAGCAATGTTAGGAGCACTGTGTCACGGGGTCAGACTAGCTCCGATGACACTTGTCTCGGAGGTGGAATCTAGTTCAATCTCGTGCGGCACTTACCTCAGAATTAACCCCGTTAAACCCGAACCAAGTTAGCCTTCCCAACACTTGGCGTGGCCTTCTTACTGGGCTCGAGGTTAGCAACACAAATTCGAAGGTAGGGAGTTGGGAGAAGAAAAGAATTTATTAAGATCGCAAGGGAGTGTACAAGAGTTTGAGTACAAAGCCCCTCTCTACACTCACTCTCACCTAACAGCTCACTCACTCAAGCCTCACTCCAGACTCTAACTGGAATCTCCCTCTTCTACTCAGGCCACCCCTATTTATAGAAGAGATCAGGCTCAAGCCCTTCTGCAAGTGAAGGCTCTAGAACACTCCACAAATTTCCCTCATTTGTACAATTACTAGAATACCCTCCATTCTCCCTCCTAAGCCTATATTATTCTAGAATCCCCTATTCTAGAATTATCTACAAGGCCCAAGAGAAACCCCAGGTTGGGCTTGGCCCAAAAAGCCCTTCCAGACCCCTGTCTGGAACTGTACACGTCCTTATCCATTTCTGGTACTGTTCATGCCCAGTAGCTTCTAGAGAATTCTGGTCCACTCCAGTCTGCTGTTGGCATGGCTTGCACCGTGGACGCCCTTGACCGCTCCCGCGTGCGCCTGCTGCTCTCGACCACAACCCAGCCCCTCGAGCCGTACCGCTCCCATGCGTGCCAGCGTCTCAACCCAGGTCGCCCATGCATGCACTCGTGTCTCGAGCCAGGACACTCTCGCGCACCCCCGCTAGTCGCCTGCGACTGCTCCAGCATGTTTCCACGCGTCCTGTCCGCAACTTCACGCCACGGCCCCGGTATCGACGCCTCCACTGGTAAGGCCCGCTGCGTCTTCCGCGATCCACCTTGCGGCTGCGTCCTCGTATACGTACGTGTCGTAGCCGCAACCCCGTGTCGCGACACCGACACCCGCCTCCCACATGCCCGCATCCATGCTTCCGACTGCGCTTCTGCTGGCGTCCATGCTCGTGCTCGTGCCTATCCTCGCGCTCGCACTTCGCAACGCTGCATTGAATGCCTCCTGGACGCTGGACACACCCCCTGTGTGCCCGTGGCTGCAGCTCCGTGCCATGATGCCCTCGACTTCGGCCCCCCAACTCACGTGCCGTGACACTCTCCCCTACCAAAGCCCTTGACTCCCTCGTCAAGGCACCTTGCGTCGAGTGCCTCGAACCCTCCCGCAAGTTGCCGCAAGTCTCTGCATCCACGTCTTGCTGCTGCCGTGAGTCGCCCGCGTCTTGCGCCACATCCCTGGCCTCCTCAGGCTTGGTTTCTCCCATGTGGCCAGACTCCTCAGGCTTGGCGGCATGGCTCCCTTGCCTTTGCCACTGGTGGTGTGAGATCGACGCCACATCCTCTGCCTCCCCAGGCTCGGACTTCACCTTGTGGCTGACCTCCCCCGTGTGGCTGGACTCCTCACCAGCCCTGATGATGGCATTAAGCGCGTCCCTCCGTGGACATTCCCTCGTCCGGTGTGGCCCTCCACACAAGAAGCACCCGTGCTTCCTCTTGGGCCGCTTGTCGCTGCCATCTCGCGTGGTTTCCATGCCCCCGCATGGACTGGAGGTTCTGCGTGGCTTGTCTCGCCCACCGCTGCTTGCAAGGTACCCCTGAAACCCTTCCACAGCCCAACTCATGTTAGCCATGAAAGTATCAAAGGCACTTTGAAGCTTACCTTCAAGTGGCTCGACCGTGCCACCCCCATCCTCCTCGGAGTTAAGAGTGACGTGCTGCTCATGGACGTCCCCCGTAGCCAACTCCCTGTCGGCCAGCCTTCCCTCAAAGGTTGTTTCGACGTCCAGTGACGCTAGTGACACCGCCCTCGACCTTCTCTTCGGTCTCGCGTCCCCACGCGTCTCCCATCGCACTCGTTCCTCCTCCAAAACATTGCTTGCCTCCATGCCTTTGCTCGCCATGGTCACGATTTCCCGCTCGCAACTAGGCTTCCACCAGGCTTGCACCACGTACTCACCAAGCTCGGACCGCGTCTCGCACCTTGCTTGGACCGCGTCTGCAGCAAGCTCGAACCACGCTCGATGCAGCTTCCAACCGTGCTCTGGTGCAACTCCGAACCAGGCTCTGATGTAGGCTTTGAGCTGGCTCTGATATCACTTTGTCACGAGGTCAGACTAGCTCCAATGACACTTGTCTCGGAAGCGGAATCTAGCTCCACCTCATGCGGCACTTAGCTCGGAATTAACCCCGTTAAACCCGAACCAAGTCAGCCTTCCCAACACTTGGCGTGGCCCTCTTACTGGGCTTGAGGTTAGCAACACAAATTCGAAGGTATGGAGTTGGGAGAAGAAGAGAATTTATTAAGATCGCAAGGGAGTGTACAAGAGTTTGAGTAAAAAGCCCCTCTCTACACTCACTCTCACCTAGCAGCTCACTCACTCAAGCCTCACTCCAGACTCTAACTGGAATCTCCCTCTTCTACTCAGGCCACCCCTATTTATAGAACAGATCAGGCCCAAGCCCTTCTGCAGGTGAAGGCTCTAGAACACTCCACAAATTTCCCTCATTTGTACAATTACTAGAATACCCTCCATTCTCCCTCCTAAGCCTACATTATTCTAGAATCCCCTATTCTAGAATTATCTACAAGGTCCAGGAGAAACCCCAGGTTGGGCTTGGCCCAAAGAGCCCTTCCAGACCCCTGTCTTGAACTGTACACGTCCTTATCCATTTCTGGTACTGTTCATGCCCAGTAGCTTCTAGAGAATTCTAGTCCACTCCAGTCTGCTGTTGGCATGGCTTGCACCGTGGACGCCCTTGACCGCTCCTGCGTGCGCCTGCCGCTCTTGACCGCGACCCAGCCCCTCGAGCCTTACCGCTCCCATGCGTGCCAGCGTCTCAACCCAGGTCGCCCATGCGTGCACCCGTGTCTCGGGCCAGGACACTCTCACGCACCCCCGCTAGTCGCCGCGACTGCTTCAGCACGCTTCCACACGTCTTGTCCGCAACTTCACACCACGGCCCCGGTATCGACGCCTCCGCTGGCAAGGCCCGCTGCGTCTTCCGCAATCCACCTTGCGGCTGCGTCCTCGTATACGTACGTGTCGTAGCCGCAACCCCGTGTCGCAACATCGACACCCGCGTCCCACATGCCCGCATCCACGCTTCCGACTACGCTTATGCTGGCGTCCATGCTCGTGCTCGCACCTATCCTCGCGCTCGCACTTCGCAACGCTGCATTGCATGCCTCTGGGACGCTGGACACACCTCCTGTGTGCCCATGGCTGCAGCTCCGTGCCATGACGCCCTCAACTTCGACCCCCCAACTCGCGTGCCGTGACAACTTGCTCCTGCACTTTCCAAGTGACACTTGCTTCAATATTTTCCTACGTCACACTCTTTTTTAATGAGGTTAATGGGCAGCCAGTTATCCCTTCTTAATTTCTTTTCGCCACCTCAACAAATCTCGACATTCTCAACCAGTGATCACCATTTTATTTCCACCGCTGATTAACGTTATCTTGCTTTCAAAAGGGATATATATTCATGAATCAGTCTTTAAATTCAATGATTTGATTTCAAATTTTAAAGTGTTTGGATGAAATAGTCGGGATTTCAAGATTCACCACCGTCTTGAAAACTATCTTCCCCCATCTCCTAAATTATACACTGTTCAAAAGGAAAATATTTATAGCTCTTTTTATTTTATAATCTAATGACACATGTTAATAATATATTAATTATATATTTTCGTTAATTATTATAAAAAATTTATTTTAATTTTATTTATTATATAATTAAAATTATATAGATATTACTAATACTAAAAATAAAATTAATTCTTATATTTTTTATATAAATTATTAAAAAATATATAATTAATACTTCTTAATTTATATCATAAGGGAACATAAAAAACAATTCTATATTTATATGTCCTAATATCTTCTTTATTTTTTGTGTATACCTGTAGTTGAATTTTTTTGAGAAAAAAATTAGATGCAATTCTAACCTCTAACAAAAACAATTCTGAAAGGCAAGTATCTCATAACTTAATCACAAAATAAAATTCTTACAGATCATAACTCCATCATCAAATAGATTAGCAATAGGGGGACTTTATATATCCTCTAAAAACAAAAGTGAACTTTCTTTTCAAAAGTGTCCCAAACTTGAAGCTCTTGCACGCCTGCATATAAAAACTAAATGAGTTCAATAAATGAAATTTTATGATTGCACAAAAATCTTATAATTTGAAAAATCACTAAATAATTAAATATGTCATTCACCTTAGGCTTTTCCACCATATCTAAGATGCATTGTAAAGTGATGGAGTGTTGTCAAAAACAAAGTCAATTATGGCTAAAATCATAGTTTTGGGAAACCATTGCCAAAGAATGCAATATAAGGAACAATTAGAAAGTTTAGAATTATTAGTAAGCACTTCTACTTTTACCATCTTGTGTCATGTAGCCATTGCAAAACCCTTGTGCATTTAAAGTGGTCTTCCCTTGTGCATCTTGATATTACAAGTATGAATAATCAGTTTGATACATTATTTTTTTGGAAAATGATTGGCACACCCACCGGTTCAACACTTGGTTCAACACTTGGTTCAACACTTTTTGGTTTAATCATTAAAAATATAATATAAATAGTCAATTTAATCAGTTCCTGTATCTTGTGTACATTATTGTATTATTTGTACATGATTGTATCATTATATGTCTATTTTTATTTTCAGACTAAAAAATAATGATTTTTAATGACTAAACCAAAAGATATTGAACCGACGGATGTACCAATCACTATTCTTTTTTTTTTTTTGTTTTTATGAATCAAACATTTTAATTTTAAGAGTATAGTACATCCAAAATCTCATAACAAGGCAGCATGCGTGTAACATATACATGTCTTTGTTGTGACAAGTTTCTCACTATATCATTTTGAGTTTCAAGTTCATTTTGCACTTCAAGTTTGCCTTTCACTAAAGAGGCATAACAAATAATAAGAATTTAATTTGAACAAAAAAATGTAAAAAAAATGTTATAAGATGAAAAAAAAGGCATCACTGACATTTCTTAAATTCTTTTTAACACTTTTTTTTTTTACCCTTTTCCACCCCACTCTTTATTTTTCTTGAAACTCTCATTTTTGAAACTTTAGGATCAAATATTGGAACCATGGGCAATTTATTGGGACCAACATTCTCTTTTCCCATGTCTTGAATCTCATTGACTCCAATTTGCAAGGAGCAATTGATATTTAACACATTGCTTCAAGGTTTCTTGTAGTGCATGACTTACAAAATTGTAACTTTCATGGCAAAGTGATGGCAAAGTGATCCCTCCTTGAACAATTGATTGGCTTGTTGAAGTAATTGGTCATAGTGTTGCTTCTTGCATTGTACTTCCTCCATCACACCACTCTTATCATACTTGCTCCAAACATCTTTGGTCCACCTCCTCAATATGTAGTGTGGTGGAATGCTAAACACAGCTAAACCTTGAAGTGTAGCCGTTGTATGTCTACAAAATTGTATCTCTACAAAGAAACCCATTGCACTCAAACAAATGGCATAGGCAAGAAATTTCTTCTCTTGATGCATCTCACTCTACAATGAAATCTTCTTTTCTCTCAAAATCGAACACTTTAAAAGTTGCAATTTGCCCATCTCCACCATCTTTTGAAGAATAACACCTTGATATTCCTAAAATCTCAACTTGAAACTTCCTGAAGACTTCATGAGTATATATCATTGACATTTGCTTCTCAAAAGGGGAAGGTATCTTCAAACTAGGTTGCTTTTTCCATGAATTAAAATTAGCTTGTTTTTCTACCTCTTTTTGATCTTGGTTAGCTACCTTGTATTGCTCAACAAACTGCCGGGAAACGGCGGATTTGGAGAGTGGCGCAAAATTAGAAGCCCTCCAATGCCGACTCAAATAAGGCTAGATAGTATTGTGAGATTTAGCTATGTAGGGGTGGGAGAAATATAGTATTGTGAGATTTAGCAATGTTTTTCTTTTAGAGATCATTATCGAAAAATTATTGATATTCATGATTGAATTCCTATTTTAATTCTTTTCAGTCTTTCGCATGTACATATAACACTGTATATTACAAGTAAACTTCAAGGTTTTCTAAACCAACAGTACTATTCATTTCTTACTATTTATTTATGAAGACACTTGACCCTCATTTGAATCCTCTGCGTTGGCGAAAACAACAACAAATGAATATCAATTATAATTAGAATTCTATTATGTTATATATTTTCCTTATTTAAAAAGGTTTAGTCAAATTTAGGGATTTATATCATGTAGTCCAGATAATAAAGTTTCTAACTGTTTCATGTGCCAGAGAAAAAAATATAGATAAATATATGAATTTTATTTTTTTTTATTTAAGAATGTAAATTTTATTGTTTTCTAAATAAAGTGCTAAACTTTTAATTTTATCTATTTACAAATGTTTAATTTTATTTTTTTATTTAAAAATTAATTAAATGATGATGTGATGTGAAAAATGATTTTTTTTCAATTATCAAATTAATCTTTAAATAAAAAATAAAAAATTAAAATTTTTAAATAAAAAAATTAAAAATTTAATATTTTATTTAAATATCAGTAAAGTTCACATTTTTAAATAAAAAATAAAAAATTTTGAGTTTTTATCTGCACATTTTTTCTTTCATGCCATCGTAAAGGCCTCATCAACTGGAAGAATATCATTCTAAACACACCAAATGAATCACAACTAATGATTGAAAAACAAATTCATATAAGAAAGAAAAGGGAAATACTTCAAAGGTCAAAAAAAGAGTACCTTTCCCACTTGATCAAATACAATGGCATCATTGTAGAGGCCTAAATAAACATCAGGAAAGTTTCTGTCATCCATTGGAGCATTAGAGAAAGGCAGCTTCTTCTTCTCTACATAACGCACTGCATCATATGAGAAATAACCAACCCAGCCACCTCATCACCAAAAGATTGTAATATTATTATTACACATAATTTAATTAGTGCTTTCAAATGAAAAGGACATAAAGTAAGATCAACACTTCCACCCTATTAGAGGGTCAGAACAAAATAGTAATTTTGAAGTTGACAATAAACATAACACCAATTTTCAAGCCTAAAACTCTCATAAACACAGAAGCACAGACTAATTCCAACAAGGAAATCAAGATACAAGTTAACAAATCGGTTCACTTCACTACCACTAAAGGCCTCTAGAAGTTTATCAATGAGTTGTGGGTTCCATCTTTCCATGATTCTGCTAGCGACTACCATGGGGTCGTCCTCTTTCCTATGCCCCACCACATGGTCCATGATGGTGACCATGTTCTCTTTGGCCACAATTTCTATGGTTGGCTAAGCTCCAATGACACTGTATCTTACCTACCATAATTAACCCACGGTATTTGTATCATCCCATTTTTCACACTAACATAGAACAACCTTTAAAAAGAACATGGCTAAAGGAGCTTACAATGTTGGAGCATTATAAACCAACTCAACAGACTCAAATCGAAAGCTTGGAAACTTGGAGTATCTCTGTCATCTTCCTTCACTGAACAGCCATATATGTGCTAACACTGGAGTTATAAATTTCCCTTCCTGGAAGCTTCCTGAAAATTTTCTGACTGGATGACTGCATGCAACATGTTACAAAAAAATTTTTTTCAAGTTATTGAAAAATACATTTTAAGCATCATATTTTTTAAAGAAAACAAGAAATTTGAACGAAATTAACAGTTTAAAGATTATCATTTTTGTTATTTTATGTTCCAAATAAATACAACACACAAAATCATCTTTCATAACGCAATGCA